ATCTTTATTCAATTCGAGTAAACATTCACTGATCAAGCTTTCCCAGTTAAGTAGCACGCAGGAAAAATTCGATATATTGGATTTTGAATTTAGGTCATAGTGTGTGAGGTAGGAAATTTCATCAGATCCCGTCTTGATAGTTTTTTCCCGAAATTTTTATTGAGGAATATGTGATGGAGAAGAGTGAGTAACCATTTTCCAAATCCCATCATCTAAAAAGTAGAAAAGTTGCAAACTTTACCCTGTGTTTTGACAATTAGGCAGCGGGTACTGTGGAATGGCGGCCGTCCAATGCTCTAAAATCCCTTTGCCGGCTACTGAGGTCCGCTTTCCTGTGATGGCGTGCGCAATACCGTGGAAAACAAAAACACAGATAAAAAGTGGTCCAACTTTTCATGGCCGCTTACTGGGGCTCCGGATCTTGGCCGTTTCTAGTGACGGTGGTACCAACAGTAGTAAAAAATCAGCGGCCCCTAATTCGAATTATGTGGTGCCTCTCGATAAGTCGTCCAGTATCACTAGGCCTCTCGCCGAGATTCTCCGTGACCTCAACAAGCGAGTTCCTGATAACATTATCAAGACGCAGAATGATCAGCCCACCTTTATTCCCTGGTAAGTAAAAAGGTAGAGCATATATAATTTCCTCTTTTATTTATTTATTTATTTTTTTTACATATTTTCCATATTTTTTTCCTATTTTGTTGATGGAGCTGATTATATGTATTGTCTGGCTGTGCCAGGTACCAGGCGAACCGTATGCTGAGCTTTTATGCTCCAGGTAACATGTGTTCCATCTCTCGGTTTTATTATTATTATTATTTTAATTTCTGTAATTAAGGAAAAAAATTGCCCATTATTTTATGGATGAAGCATGTGCTAGAAGTGAAGTAACACGTGGGATGGTCCTTCGTGACCAAATTTATCTCATAATGAATTATAAATATTCTACTTGTTGATTATATTTGTACCTTTATTGTTCCATTACTGGTCCAAAATCGGCAATGTAACACTAACAGTGTCTTGGAGCACATGTTTACTGCTGTACTGAACTGTGTTTGGCAATATTTCTTCTGGTACTATTCATGTATGTGTAGCTGAAGCTTTGCTTGAGAAACTTGGTTAAGTTGCTAGTCATTATTTTATTTTCTTATTTATGCACATCGTGTTCCATTTCCATTCTTCTACCTTGTAGGTAATGTTTTATGATGCTCTTTTGAAACCTTTCCAGTTTGTCCAGAAAATAATAACACTACTTCCGTGTCCAAGTTAATGTGAAAGTCACTTATTTCTTGTTGTGCTGTTAAATTGTATTAGAAACGCACTTTCAATTTGTATGGGACTAATAACTGGAGTAATGTTCGAACTTGGTGGAAATAGAAGATGAGAAATATAATGAAATTAGATGATAGATCCACTGATCCTGTATTTTTTAATCTCATACAGTCGGAAGATTACGTTTTTTCCTTTTTGTAATGTCTTCATCCTTGAATTGGTATGAGTTATCTGCAGCTTACATGTAAAATGTCTGTCTGTTATTTATCTGTGCTTGTTTCTTTTTAACTTTCCTTTCAACCAAGAGATGACAAAACAAAGGTTACATTGGTCTCCCTTTCTTTTTCTTTTTTTCCTTCTCTTTCCTTGGAAAGCTAATGATCACGAATGATTTGTTGGTCTTACATAAAGCTGCCGAATTGTGTGCTTGACCGGTCTTGTTTTCTTCTGATGATGTTTATCAGTATTTAAAGAGTTAAAAAAAAATATATATATATATATATTTGATTCAGTAGAATAGAAACAGATCATTTTCTAAGTTTGAGGTCAAATTTCGAGAAAGTGCAACCTTCAGTTGATGTGGAATTAGTAATGTTTCCTTTTCTGTAGGTTGGTGCGGAGAAATTCGAGATGTTATTTTCTCGGAGAATGGAAGTGTGACTGTTGTGTATCGAGTGACAGTACGAGGTTCTGATGGGGAGGTATGTTTTCTTTTCAACCTCAATTTAGCCCTCAATTACACTTGAATCTTGCCATTAAAGTGCCTTAAAGCATAATACATTTTCACAAAGATTGTTCATTATTCCAGTAATTTCTTGAGGACCTCATGATTATTTGTTGAAGTCATTTTCATAAAGAACTGTTCATTGCACTTCTTGGTGTAAATGCAGGCACATCGCGAATCAACTGGGACAGTGACACCTGGCGAGAGCAATATCGTGGATCCTGTGGCTGCAGCAGAAGAAATTGCGTTTTGCCGAGCCTGTGCTCGATTTGGTCTTGGCTTGTACCTTTACCACGAAGATTAGAAGGCGTTGTTTATTGCTGTCTCACAGTCTTCTTCTGTATGTTTGTTTGATTGAGAAGTAAACCTTTTTTGTGTGTGTGTTCTTAATTAATGTATGCTACTGTTGTTATCAGGCATATAATTCTTAATTTGATCAACATGTCATCTATATATAAAAGTGAATGAGATATCTTTAATATATAATTCTTTAATTCTTAATTTTTTTTTTTTTTTATTTTNTATATGGAAGTCTGAAACCTCTGTGCTCGGTGGTTTTCATTGATATGGATTATGGACTGATTTAGTTTTGCTGATGCTGATTTTATTTTTACATTATATATAACAACAATACATTTACTAAACATACAGTATTAAATCTTTATACGAAACATGTTGTCACTCAGGTTTTAGCAGTGCAAAATGCAATTTATTTACTAAACTTGATACAATTACACAAAGTTCATCATGGAGTGTTCAGAAACAAGGGATCTCAAAACCACAAGTTAAACACAAATATACAAAGCATTTGCACATCAAATTTTTTATGCTCTTCTTTTTTATCATGACTTTCAAATATTATCATTATTTAAAAATTATGTTTAAACTTTTGATACATTTGACACAATTCATTATGCAATGTACATTTTTTTTTGTTTGAATATTTAAAAATAATAGTACATATAATAATAAACCATATAAAATAAAAATCAAATATAATTTAAAACCACAAAAAGAAATATGAATTGTGTATCACGTGTAGTAACTAAAAGAACCAATACTTCATATATTTTCTGCTCATCCATATCTAATTCCATACTTTCTTCTGTCTGTGAAATTTCTATGTTAACCAATTTAATTACTGTTCTTCCTAACATGATGAATACCCTGTTACTGTTAGATACTTAGGTGTGTGGACGGATATATTCAATAAGTTTATTATGCTCATAAAAAGATCAATATACATAAGACAATGATAATATTAATTAGGGGGCAAAACAAAGAACAAGGTCTTATCACCTGCTTGCTGGTTTGCACATAATCTGTAAGAGCCATGCATCCATATATATTGCCATCATTGATTTCATCAAGCAAGCAAAAGCCATATATGATAATTATTAAAGGATTCAGACCCAATTTTTAAAAAGTCATACAACAAGCACCAAACAAACATACATAATAAATCCAACACCTTAATACTAAAGACATACATGCTGGAACAGAACATCAGAATGCCTTCTCAAACTTTGTTGGCAGAGCCTTCACAAAATTTCAGTCCAATACTCTTGTGAGCCTTCTCCACTTGATAACAAAATACACATAAACACTGTCCCATAACTTGTGAAAGAGAGCATAACACAATTCTCTCCATTTCTTCTTAAAATACAATGTCGTGAGGACAGCCGAAAGCCCGACAGCATACCCTAATGATAGGAACACGTAAAACCAATCAATCTCTCGTTTATTACCTTCTCGGCCTAGATTCTCTGCATGCAGTGGATCAAGAGCTTTATCGTCATTTCTGCAAGATATTGTAAGTGGAGGGCCACATAGATTGTTGCCGATGAAACTCGACTCATTCAATCCTCGAATCTGGGTGCTTTCTGGGATTCTTCCAGTCAAGTGGTTATATGACAAATTGAAGCTACTCAAAAAAGACATGGTTGTGATGCTACTTGGAATCTCACCCGATAATGAGTTGATTGAGAAATCAAGAGATTCGAGTTGCTTCATGTTTCCAATGTTGTCTGGGATGGATCCTGTTAAAAGATTTCGCGACAGGTTCAGGATTCTGAGTTCCACCAGACTTGTTACCTCTCTCGGGATGTCACCAGACAAGATGTTGTTTGAAAGGTCAATACTGGTAACCAAAGAAAGAGTAGTACTGTAGGAGAGTTCTCTTCCTTTTGTTGCAATTGATGCACTCTCAGAATGGTAAAAGAGATTTGTTAAAAATCTTTTTGTGGTAATTGCAGTAAGGTTGTTGAGGCAGGTAGGTATTCTCCCGGAAAGCCTATTATGAGAGAGATCCAAGATTTGTAGAGATGTTAGCTGGCATATGGATGGGGTGATTTCTCCACCGAAGTTGTTTGAGCGCAAAATGAGAATTGCCAGTTGGTAAAATCTTGTGTCAATCCATTTCGGTATGTCCCCACCAAGAATGTTATGAGAGAAGTCAATCCTAATTAGTTCCGTGCAGTTTTGCAGTGAAGAAGGTATTTGGCCAGAGAAATTGTTGCCGTATAGATTCAAGAACTCTAAACATGTTAGAAATCCTATGGAATTTGGTATTCTTCCGGATAATTCATTGTTGCGTAAGTTCAACGCTATCAATGATTGCCATTTCACGAAACAATCGGGTAACTCACCAGACAGGTGGTTTTCCTCGAGATTAAGAATTTGCAGTCCATTATTGGTTGATGTGTTGCAGAGAAATTTTGACAGATGTCCCGAGAATGAGTTATGGGAGAGATCAAGGTAAACCACATTTGTCCCAATTCGAGGCAATGGACCACTAAACCTGTTGGAACTCAAGTCAAAAAAATTATTTTCATGTCCACGATCACTAATGGATAAAACATTTCCATCGAGTTGGTTATGCGAAAGGTTGAGATATTCAAAACTCAAACTCCATAACCAGCTGGGAACGTTTCCATAGATTCCAGTACACGATAAATCAAGTTCGAAGATACTGTCTTTCTGAGTCTCAAGCCATAACGGGATTCGAGATCCCAAGTCCCAAGACCTTAGACTTAGCGCCTCTAGTTTAAATGGTGGAATCCAATTGGGGTTGACTTTCAAACTCAAGTGGTTTCCAAAGGCTCGCAAGGATTTTAAATTTGAGAGATTGGCAAAGTGAGTTTCAGTCACAACCCCTTCCAACATGTTATTCCCTATATAAAGCTCTGTCAAGTTCACAAGTTTCCCAATACTCTCTGGTAAGTTCCCCGTCAAAATGTTATTCCTTATATAAAGCTCTGTCAAGTTCACTAGTTTCCCAATCCTCTCTGGTAAGTTTCCCATCAATTTATTATTCTCCAAGCGTAACCTTTGAAGGGAAAGCAAGTTCACTATTTGGTTTGGAATGACACCGGACAATGAGTTGTAACTAAGATTGAGGGTTTGGAGACTCCTAAATTCTCCAAATTGATGAGGCAAATGACCGGAGATTTGATTCTCTGACAAATCTAAAGATATCAAAGATCCTAAGAAACAATCTGACATGTTTTCAAATGAATCCCTTATATCTCCTACCAAATTATTACCCGATAAACTCAAGGCCTGAATATTGCACAGGTTTGCAATTTCTCTTGATATTTTTCCAGAAAGTTCATTTGAACTTAAATCGAGGTACTGGAGGTGTTTGCAGGAGCAGAGCCACTGTGGAATGCTTGAATTCAAATTGTTATAGGAGAGATCAATGTGTTGGAGTTTTGTGGTGTTGCTCGTAGTTGGAATTGGGCCGTGGAATGAGTTGTTACTCATATCAAGATAGATAAGGTTGGTGAGTTGAAAAATCCAAGGAGGGATGATGGCATGAGACAGGGAATTGTAGTACTGGTTTGAGGAGAGATCAAGAGTGGCTAAATTACAACTGCTGATGTTGTTAACATCATTCAGAGGAGCCATCAAATTAAGATTACAATCTCTAAAATGCAGCTCCACTAAAGAAGGAAGTTTGTTAATCACCTGTTGTGCCCAGTTGGTTGCTTTGTTGAGGTTCACACCATTCATGTTGAGGTGCTCCAATTTAGGAAGTCCCGACAACCATTCAAGACTATTGACATCTAACCACGACACTAAATCGACGGCCAAACTTAAAACGTGCAAATTGGAAAGATTACCAATACAATGAGGAATCTTTCCATAAAATCCAGCGAACGATAGATTCAAGTATTCGAGGCTTGTGAGCGATCCAATGAAAGAAGGGATTCCTTCCTCAAAGTTGTTTTGGCTCAGGTCAAGATATTTCAAATGCTTCAAGTTGAGCAAAGATGAATTTAATTTGCCATCAAAATAATTACCTTGAAGATGGAGTTGAAGAACTCGGCCGGATAAATTGCTGCAAACAACACCTTTCCACGTGCAACAATCAAATTTAGCATCCCAAGAAGACAACACGTTTGAAGAGCCATTTAGAGATTGCTTGAAGCTTAAAAGTGACTGTTTTTCAATTTCAGGGCAAGAGATTGAATAGAGTGGTCTCAAGGAAAAGAAAAGGAGGACCAAAAACATAGATGCAAGGATAGAGAGTTTTGATTCATTCATCTCCATTACATACAATTTGTACTGACGATGGTATGATATTGGAAGAGTTGGGTCTTCACTGTCCATGCAATCTACATATATATAGAAGGAATAAGCTTAACTTATTCTTGCCCATCTTATGGTTCACTTATTTCCAATTCTAAGAAATATTATTGGCATTTACTTTAGTAATTTTTCTATTATTTGTCTCAGGTGTAAAAATAATATTTATACATACTAATCTAAGTGATACATGCACTAGCATGTATTAGTTAAGGTGTAAATCCACTGCAAACTATCAAATTGTGTGAAAGAAAGAAAAATAAATAAAAATAAAAATAAAAATAAAATATTGAGCTATATAGTATATANAAAAAAAAAAAAAAAAAAAAAGACCTTGACGTACCGTGAACCACTAATCTTAATGCTATTGCTTATCCACTACACACGATCAGACAATTATCAGCACTTTGAATGAATGAGCTTAACTTATTCTTGCTCCTCTTATGGTTCAGTTATTTCCAATTAAAAGAAATATTATTGGAATTACTGTAGCTTGAATTCTGATGTTTATTTAAGTTCTGCTGATGTTAATTATATTTCACCATTAAATAGAACTAACATTATTTACTAAATATACAGTATTAAATCTTTATATGAACCAATTTTGTGACTCAGGTTTTTAACAATGCATAAATTGATTTTGGACCAGAGTCTCCTTGTTTTATCAATAATCAGAGTAACTGAAGTAAAGTACCATTCATGAGTCTGATTGTTTCTTTTCCATCTCTAGCGCACGTAAATCTGAGTCTGGGCGAGATTGATATCATCTGAAGCAGGCTCGAGTTGGAGAAAGTCTCCTCCAACCCCACTGTGGGCCCCACATCGACACAGTCCCTCATGACATTGCCCAGCTCCTTCGCCACATCAGCCCCAGCGTAAATCGTGCTCCTTGGGCTTTCGGCTATTTTCTGACCATCGGCAAATCCTTTGGTGGCTACCTCAAGCTCGCAATACGTGAATAGCTGGCCGGGCAAGCAGGCTTTCTGGGAGTGGGTTTGGTTGGAGACGAAGTGTTTGTCGGGCCTAATGGGCCTTTTCAAGAGATAAAATATCGTCAAGAAGATGAGAGCGCAGTTATCACCCCTGCACTCAACACAAGATTGCTCAACTGAGCTTTTTCGACATTTCGAATTTGGAGGAACAAAAACTAAAGAAAACGGGCGGTTTAGAAACGAACCGGCTAAAATTACAGCCTTCTGTCTATGGTGGTTGTTCGGACGACAATCGTCTCCACGTGCTTCCTTTCCATCCTTGAAGCAGGCTATGAATACCCTAACATGATTAAAAATGGGAAGAGGCAAAGGAAATTACAGACATTGTTTTATTGAATGCAAGATATTTCTCACATTTGATGCAACCATCCCCGACAGCAAACCCGTCGCCGGAAAACCCAGCACGGCACCGGCACCTGATTCCAGATTCAACGGAGGTGGCACTGATGATGTCGGCATCGGCGGCGCAGGTGGTGAAGTTTTCCGGCATAGCCCACTCGAGCTTGATCCCGCGCCTCCCGGCCGTGCTCCCCGGCAGAACAACCCTCGAGGAAAAACCCCTGCACCCAAATTTCGAGGCGAAAACCGATAGGCTCTCGCCCGGCCGCCAAGCGCCGCCGTCGGAAAGCGGGTAGCAGCAGGAAGGGTAGCTGCCGCATCCACTCGGAGAGCGGCCGCCGCCGCCACCGTTGTCTCGCAGTCCGCTTTGCACAGGGAGGAATCCTCGCAGTCGTACAGATCTAGCACGTTGTCGGTAGAAACCCCGAGGTGCTCGTCGCCGGAGAAGGGGAAAGACCTCTCCAGGTCGCCGTACGGGCGGCACGCGCCGCCGGTGGCGTTGGGGAAGTCGAGCAGGACGCCGTCGGGGAAGAATTGCAGGAGTTTGTAGTTCCGGCCGGAGACGTTGAGGAAGAGGGCCGAGGAGTTGAGGCAGGAGAGGGAGAAGGCGGCGGAAATCGGCGGTTGCGCGGCGGCGCAAGAATTGTTCGGGATGTAAAATGGGAACGGGATCTCGAGGGTCCCACACCTACTGCCGCCGCACTGAGTTACAGCGGCGTTCGCCGCCGCTATTGGGCCGCAAGGAGGAAGAATAAGAGGGTCGAGGTCATGGCGGCGGCGGGAGGTGGTTGGTGGAGGCGGAGAAGGTGGCTAATAGAAGCATTTGGAGTCGGTTCTCTACATATGTGAAAATAATTTAACAAGGGGTGCCAAGAAATCATCGGAAAAAGGGAAAGGACGATGGATGGTCGGTGGAATGGGACACAGTGCCTGCCTATGCATTCGCGCAATTGGCCGGCGTCACGGCGTTGGGGGCTCGAAAGCCCCGCCACCTGAAAAAGCCCAACTATACTATACACAGTCATACGTATCACAATTCACGTGATGTCTGTGTATTTCTATGTGGTTTACATTTGTAACTAAGTTTTCGGCAAACTTAAATCCGACCCGCATGTACTTTATTCTTCCGAAATTAACCCACTAATCCATTTTTCGGCATTCGGGTTGTAGGGGTTTTTTTTTGGTATTCAAGCCAATTCAAAATCCTCCCATTGATGTCGCGGCTATCAGTATAAGACTTAATCTACGGCAGCTCGTCGAGCAAACAAAATTTTTATTGTATGAATTATTTAGGGAAATAACAATTGAACTGCGAAAAAAAAATTCGACATCATTTTCTTCAACTGCTTCTGAGTCTTCTTCTTATAGACAATGAGGACAGACGACACAACAAGCTCAAAACTTTGATGACTGGTGGAATGACTTTAACCTCTACAAAAATGCCAAGATTCAAAGGGCAAAAGGGACTGGATACAGTAAGCTCGATCACTACCTCACGGCAAATTTGATACTTACAATTGCACGTGAGCCTTCCGCCATAAAAATGCAATATCTTAGATTGATGGTCAAAGATGAGTCCCATTTATCCAATTCCATGCTTGATGACCAAGGAGATTTTTCGTTGTTCCGGCCTCAACAGTGGCAGTTGAACAAGCATTCAATGAAGAAGGATATACACAGATGCACGACAATCGAGGTTGACGCCACAAAACCTGGAGGCTAAAATGTTGTTGAGTGACTGAAAGAAGACCGAAATGAGGGCACAAACGGTTATGCTAACTGTCGAAGATGATGAACATCCAATTTTACTGCTAGTACTAGTGAATCGCCGCAAATGAAAAAGAACTACGACACATACGACTACGAGTACTAGACAGTCGGTTCAATTATGCCATCTACTTTTATCAAGATAAGCATAATAAGAGAGTTACGATGACTTTGATTTCCGAGGTAAAGAATTCGTAAACAATTTAATTGACATATTACAAGTTAAAAATATTCAATTAATCCGTGTGTTCTAACTGCTAACTTATCGTGTCATCGATTAATGATATTATCATTTGTGTGTATTTTATTTGTTTATTTCGTGAGTAGACTGGAGCGTTGGGGGTGTAAATTGTAAAGTCATAATTCTCGTGATGTAGTAATTTCCGATGCTTGAGCTGCAATCATCAATTGATTAATTATTACTCAGTGGGAAGCTGGCACTTGATGTTTCAAGTAATTGCACATATTTATAGTTTCATGATACTATCATTGAATAATGATGACTATCAATATTCTAATGAACAGATACTTGAACCCACTCCATACATCCAGAAATTTAATTCTACTGTGTCAATATATTTTCACTATCACGGTAGATTCGATCTTACCCTAATGGTGTTTTGATCAGACGATTAAAATCCTCACGGGACACTACTTACGATAGAATAAAATTTACCGACGTAAAAATAGGGTAATTTATATATAAAAAAAATAAAAAACAAAAAAACAAGTGGACACAAATAAAAGTAAAAAAAAAAATCCGGACCAAAATAAAAAACTAGTATTCTCAGAATACGTTTTCTTTATAAATTTCATTGAAAAACGTATGTTGAAAAACGTATTCAGAGAATACGTGCTTTTGATTGATTTCCACAACTTTTTTTTTGTTTTGTTTTTATCCAGATAACTTATAATTTTGTTTTTTGAGTAAAAAGATCCGTAAAAATAAGGGAACTATCAATTAATCCACTATACAGAAATCTTGTATTGTCATAATAAACTCAAACTGCATTTATCATTCATGATAAACCTTTTTTCCCACTGGACATCATAGCATCCATGAAAACACCTCCAAGGTGCCCGCATTGTACAGTTCGTTGAAAAGAAAAAAATAAAAATAAAACTAGAAACCGTATTAGAGGAAAAGGCTATTGATCTTCAAGAAGGTTCATCGATTCACTTAGAAATTAGTTATTATGTCCAGCCAAGAAAGTCTCTTTAACTTTATTTGTCACACAACTACACAAGAAAAAACATCGTGGTCTTCCAATCAAACTTTAACATAACTCAAAATATAACAGAGAATGAAGTGAAAAATGCATGCACCATCAGCTTGGGGATACCTCTTAATTGGAAATCCGAGCATTAAATTGAAGCCTCTCCTTCTATACGCAGTCTCTTGGGACCTTTCTCTTCAATCTGGTAGTTGGTCGAGACCAGAGTGTCCTTAGCCTCCATCGAGCATCTCTTATAAGGTTTAAAACCAGTCCGCCGAGCTTTCAGCTTAGCAATGGGTCNAATAACATATTACACTGTCACGTAACTATTCATTAAGGGTAGAATTGCCAAGTGCACCTCTTCAGATACTTCTTTCCACGAAATCTCCTTCTCGTTTGTCTTCTTTTCGTTTTCTTCACCTTTAGCATCGGCCTCCACATCACTGCCAGATGGCGTGTTTGAGCCGCACGACGAACGGTCGACTGGCTTTTTGCTCTTTGATGATGTGTTTGTAGCAGCTTCAGTATCTACATTTTCTGCAGGGATTTCGAAAGCATTCGGTTCTGCATCCGCACTCGCTTCGGACTCGGATGTGGATGCAACTACTGGCGATTTCGGATTCGGATTATCAGGTCCGTTTTCTGTTTTTCCTGGACTGTTGTTCGGAGGAGGTTGAGTTTGAAAAGGTGTACAGAGTAAAGGAGGGAGAAGCCCGTGAGCAGCCCACCATGAGGTGGCAGCTGCTACTGTGGCTGCAGCAATTGAACTTGCTGAGGCTGTACAAGCTTGTCCTAAACCGACGTTGTTCGAAAATGGCCACAAAGTGGCGGCAAACCTGGCCGCAGCATATGTTGCGGGGTTTTGCGATAAAGTAGACACGATAAGGCTCGAAAACATCGAAGAAAGGTGCATAAATGAAGGGTGGTGGTAATTGTCTTGGTTCTGGATTGGAATGAAGATAGACGGATGAAAATCTGAAAAAGGCTGGTTTGAGGATGATGTATCTGGTGCAGTATCAGGTCCGGGGACATCCAAGCTCCCGTCTAGAATGTGCACGGGTACGTGACGTGGGTACTTTGTCGAGGCTTGCATTTCAGAAGCTGATGATTTTTCAATGTGTTCAGCTGTCTTTTCACAATGCACAAACTTTTCATCCTGTGAGGTGGCATTTGTAACGTTGAATAAAGGCTGTTTGTAATCAGAACTTTTTCCGTGGGCTTCGACTGTGATTTGAGATGCGGAAGTCCCATCATGATTGCTTGCTTCTTTCAAGAAGGGCCCGTATTGCATAAAAGTACAAGGCACTGTCCTGTGCTCATGATTACTATTATCTAATTTTTCATCATCATTAGGTTCCTGGAGATGCATTACAAAGCATCACGGGATAAAAGCGTTATTTTCATTCGAGCGAACAAACGAATATATATAATGATCACAAATAGGCAGAGAAGAAACAGGACGAATGGTTACCAAAGAAAAAAAAAGTTGATAAAATATATAGGGTGGGAATCAGCTGGAGTGACCTATACCTCTTCAAGTTCTTTCGTCAAAGTTAATGTCAATTTACTATGGCACGAAGAAGAAACCGAGCATTGTGTATTCCCATTCTTCACTGCCACCTGGAGAGTAGGAGCTCCTCCACCTGTCTTTCGAGGATAAGGATTACTCGGCTTCCTTTTTGGCCGTGGTGGAGGGATATCAATGTCAAGAGCTTGTCCGATTGGAACTCCTTTAACAGTGGCCTCCTTTTCCAACTGTATTATCGACACATAAGAATGAAAAAACTATAATTATCACAGAAAATAATCTCGAGTGAGAGGAGTTGCAATTTGCAGCTGCAAGTATGAGATAAGAATTACTCAGATGAGCATGCATAATCCTGCATGTTGATTACTGGCAACCAAAAATAGTTATAAAAGCAGTCGAATTCAGTAGCTTGGTATGACAAGACTACAAACTTCAACAACAGTTACTGAGAAAAAAGTTAGTTGTACTTCTTCAGTCGCCAGTAATTGCTAGGTACACTCAATGAATTTTCCAATTTTATGTGATTGGTTATTCCACTCTTCTATTGAATTCAACATTCAATAAGATTTCCAGAGTGCATGGTGAAATATGAGATGATGATATTTTGCAGGGGCAATAAGCTTTTTTCTAATATCTTTGCAAATCAAAACAATCATATGTTCCAATTGATTGTGCACAATAAACTTTCTTCACAGGTAAGTAAAATATTTGAACTTGCGCTTTATTATAATTTGAACTACAATATCGCAATAAATACAGGCTGCTACATTATGACATAATAATCTATTTTGATAATCTGGGTAAAACTGATCGAGGACATGCAAGTTCCTTATTGCATAATGACTCACCGCAACAAATCATTCGATGCCCATGATAGACACTCATTATACATCAACAATTTAGACCAATGCTACCAAATACCATCCATAAAGAAGCATGCCTATTATATTTCTCCATTGCAATGTTACCTCGTTGGAACATAAATAACTAATTACTCAACACTTTACACTGGGCTGCCTCCATGTAGGAATTTCATGCAACTCCCAACTTTTTAACTACTAATAACTAGCATTTCGAAAATATATATTATGATCAGCATTAGGCAATTTATTTCAAGACTCATTACCCCAATTTAGACAACAGTATCTGTATCTAAAGAAAATAAGATAACTTGAGGTTATATGAACATCAATAAGTTAATATTAATCAGGCAATCAAATCAAATAGTTGAACACATTCATTTCCTTCGGAATTGGCGCACTTGTAAGTTTCTAGCTTTTAGAACATCTATATAAGAAATAATTATTCTATCACAGAATGGGGGTTGTTAGATAATAGGTTTTATTGGGAGGGTAGCAAAAGGGTGGTGAAGCTGGCGGTGATGTGAGTGTCGGCTAAAATAATGGCCAAGAGGTGGGATGTTAATTACATAATTAATGACATAAGTTTTTATTATTGATCATACTTTTGAATTATATAAAGGAAGAACGGATGGAGGGGTTAACAACGTTGCAATTTGATTCTTGTTTTATGGAGAGTGTAACAGGAGGATGACAAAGCAGCAGGTGCGAGTGGCATGGACAATGATTGGAAAAAATAATGTCCAAGTAATTGAAGTCAATCTCGTACTTAAAAGTGTGCACATTTAATATGAACACTGGCCGAAATAGCAATCAGATGGCCGAACAATGGTTAACAGATTTCATACTCAAATAAGGTTTCTGATGAATGTATAAATTCATAGTTAGTTAATAAGGTGGTAAATGTACCACCTGACTGTAGGTGAGTGATGGTGGTGGCCGAATTCCGAGCAGACAAACAATATATACATAATATTTATATATATGAACAAAGAATGGTTACCTCAATGTGGTAATTTAGTATGTAAGTGAATAAAATGGAAAAATGATATATGCTGGGGTATACAGGTATATGGTCAAGTCCAGAAAAATAGATAGGCCCACCTCCACACATCCACAAAAAGATGAAACATTATTATATTGGAAGATATTCAATAGATGGAAAAATTGAGATTGCGAAAATGACTAATAAAACATTGAATTTTATCTTTTCTAGTATATATTTGTTGATAATACTTATAAAGAAATTGCTCCAATACATAAACTGGATTTTATTGAGCTCAAAAGAGAATCTTCAAAATCATTACATATGTATTCTACCAATAGAACAACATTTTGAAATAATAGTATTGATCAATAAAAAGTTCTTCACATGACATTCTTTATATTATTAACTCACAAATTTTACATTAAATCTAACATTAACATAAATTTTACAAATAATTATTTAATAAATTATTCATAAAACACATTATGTATGTAAATCAATCATAAATATAAAACGACTTATTTCAGGAGAAATGGTTCTTTTACCTAAAAATGTGCAATTAAATATACAAAATTTTATTAAAACGACTTATTAAATATACAAAATTTTTTAATTTCAGGAGAAATGGTTCTTTTACCTAAATATGTGCAATTATCACATAGGAAGTGTCCCTCTCCCTCTACCCAGCTTTTTAGGTCATTTTGACCTAAAAGCTAATCAATATGTCTGCTTATCATTACCTAACAGTCTAATCAATCCTTTAACTTGATCAAAACATCTCATTACCAATTACCAAACAACAAGGCCAATATCTTCTATTTCCCTACACATGTGCATAATAAGGAAGCATGAATGACCTACAGGTGAAGATGAAGATGCCAAAATAGAAGATGGTTCTTCGCTTTAAGTGAACTATTCGGAATAAATTGTTTGAATCTTGTATTGGATGAGACTCAATGTGGGTCCATGCAGTAGAAGTGAACACAATTGGAAAGTTTTGAGAATATTTCGGTCACATGATAGATAGGCACAAGAGTGGGTCATAAGGTTATGCAGCTTGTAAACTAACTATAGTGCATATTCACATGATTATGCAGTTTGAAGGATCGCGCAACAGTTACTTTTGGACCTAGTGAGCAACTAATCCTGGCATGAACCAAAACAAAAGGAGAAATCTTATTAGGAAAGATATTTAGGTGTTATTATTAACTTGACCTACTTGTAACCTCCAAAATCTGCTCCTTGAACAAAATGGTCATGTATAGAACATAAGATCAAACGTAATCGTACAAAAATTGTAGAAACTCATTAAATGCAAGATTAGATTAGTATAATCCTCAAACAACGAGTTGATTTAAATCAAATAAACTTATACATAAATAATGTACTAGTTAATAGTATGTGAAGATAATACTTTTGTTAGAAGAAAAGGTCCACAAAAACAATTGCAATAGGAAGATAAAACAAATATAACTGGGAAATATATAGACTATATAATACATGTAAGGTAGTTCTCACTTGTCACGTTTTGTTGTTTGAGTTCAAAATGGAAGTTCAGTAAGAACTGTTCTTAGAATATACCTCATCTGAAACCCCATCCATCTAGTTTGATTCAGCTTTTCCCTTTTTGGGTTCAAATTATAAGAACAATAACAAATGTGTTCCATATTTGAAAATCATGTCTCAAATAACCCAGAAAACCGATCATTCAGGCAAATATACGTCCTATAAGATACTGGAACACAATATCTTTTTCAGCAAACTTTCAGCTTCTGCGGTCTTGATAACAAAAGAATAAACAAACATACATGAAAATATAACTTACCTAATATCCATTATTACCAAAAGCAAGCAAGCGGTATTCGATATTTCACCAAATAATATAGAAAGAAAAGGCAGTATGATTGACCTTAGTGAAAAACTTTTGTGCATGACTTCTGATCTGCACAGCAGTCTTGGTTCCTATATGTTCTGCACCACCACCAATACAAAAACAAAAGGAAGACGGCAGACAGTTCCATAATCAAAAGAAAAATATATCCCAAAAATTTTGATTTCGCTTGAGATATATCAAGAACATATCTTGAGATCATATAACAATAATATAAATTTCAAAAAACCGATTGATTACACAAGGAAGTGTGTTATCAACACGAAATAATATGCAAAGTTCAAAAAATAAACAGAAAGACACAGTCAAACATATAACCAAAAGATTAGCAACCTTCTATACGCTGCCAAGCACGGCCATAGAGCTTGAGGGCTTCTAAGAACCTATTATGCTCCTCTTCAGTCCATCGCTCACGTTGCTTAGTGATAGTATAAGGTTTCCTTGTCTGTAAATTTAGAGAAACAAAATGCTTTCATGGTCTTTATAAGAGAACTCTAAGGTGTATAGAGCTCTTTAGGATAAATCTAATGAGACCTTTATAATAAGGTCTTCTCCAGATGAATAAGGGTCCATCTAAACAGAGGACCAGGGTAAGCTACAGCTACAGACACACGGGACAATTTCATTCATCGCTCTTCCGGTGGTAAAATTTGATGGGACCTGACAAAGCAACACTAATACTGCACAAGAGAGAACCTTATAACAAAAGGATCCTATGGAAATTCTGCCTCTGTTTCTAACCGTGAATTCATTCATAAGCAGTGGCTTTGTCCTTTTTAAAGGAGGATTTATCGAAAATCATTCAGTTCCTACGAACACGCAAACGAGACAGTAGCAACACAATCATCAGAATCACACGAGTTTGAATCAGACAGGGAAAAAGGTAGAAAAAGGAGTGAGACGCATCTCTGCAAGCAGTAGTTAAAGCAAGTAGTTTAACTCCATTTTTACCCAAATCTCACCCAAAACGAACCGTCATGTCTCCTTCAACCTTTTTGCATCGAGCCCAGTTTAACAGCAACAAGAAAGCACAGAGAAAGCAAGANCATTGCAAATTACTCTAAACAAAAGCAAGGAACAAACTGAAAAACCCAACATATACCTTCGATGATAGCCATTGGGAAACCCAACAGTGTCACCTCCGATCTTCACATACGCACCCCGCAAGCTCAACAGAAACTCACAAATGGCGGATCAAAAACTTCCAGCTCACTCTAGCACAAAACGGTAAAAAGAAAAAAAAGCTACAACCAGTTCTGAATTGAAGGGAGCAAGCAGAAAAGCCACAGCAGAAACGAAAGTTTCCCTTTTTGTTGCTTTTATCAAACCTCCGCCATTGAACAAAAACGTGAGCCACTAGAAAATACGGTGAGGGTTCGAATTTAGGAAAAATGGAGAAATTGGGGATTTAATTTGAGGCTAGCGAGCGGCCAGCAGCGAAGGGAGGTGGGAGCTGGGGCGAGGGGATTGCGCCATGTGGCGGGAAGATAGTGGCTCGAAGCTCCTGCGTGAAGCCACCCGCTTTGCACTTTTTCTCGATTTTCCGATTTTTTTTTATTATTATTATTATTGTTAATGGTGGTGGAGGATAGAATGGTAGGGGGAAAGTCCTCCTCCACCACAAACTCGGGGTACTGTAGTGAGTCGACTGGGCCGAATTGGGGAAAAGCTTTTGCCTCGTCACCCATGGCAGGGGCCCAGCATATGCTGCGTGGCGTCGCGCGCTCTTTCTAGATATTTCGCCACAAACCCAATTTTCTACCAAGCAATTTTCACAGGGTGGTTTATTTATTTAGAAAAAATAAAAGTTAGACCTATTCTATGAATACGTTTTTCTAATAACATTTTATTAGAAAAACATATTTACGTAATACGTTTTATAATTAATTTTTTTGTCAAAACGATAGAGGTAATATATATAACGCACAACTGTGCAGAAAGCAGCCACCAGCTGATTACAAGCAGTCAACAACTGAATACAAGCAGCCAATAGCTAAAAAACTGGGAGGACAGGTCAAAAGACCGCCTAGAACCGACCCCAACGGGGTAATACTCTAGAAACTAAAAACACCCAAAACAACTAAACACAACAACACAAGACCCCCACAGGGTAATTCCCGAGTGTCGGACCCCCACAGGGTAATGAAAATGACACTCGGGTGCACAGAGGCCAAACGGCCCAGACCTAAAACACAACGACAAACACATCCACAAGAACGAACACTCTAAACAAAAACAACAAACCAAACTACTACATAACAAAAGAAGGAAAAACACAGCTAGATAAAAGCCCTTCCACAGCAAGTCAGTCAGCTCGAACCAGCGGAGAACGGTCGATATCAGAGGATAATCCAAGTCCAGGAGACGGCTTCCGAAACTGCCACAAGGCCTATACAAAAAGTCGAGTCCGAACACAAACCAATCTCCGAAATGACCCGCCTCAACCGGAAGGACAACTGAACACGCACCCACTCTAGCACCTCCCGAGCACGCCTAACATCACTAGCCGAGCTTAGGAGCGCCTGAACCCCGCCGTCTAACACCACTAGCCGAAACAGGGGGGGCGGCTCGGGCCCTCAACTCCGACAAGCCATCAGAGCCCCATCCCTCTTCACGACCCATACACAAGCAGCCAACATCGCCGTCGACCACCGGCTCCAGGACCAAAACCCCCGGACAAATTTCGCAGGAAAAAGCGGAACCAACCGAGGGCCTTCCGTTCGCACACTTAATCGGGAATATAGAACCTGTCGACGACTAAAGTGCTCGCCTCTTCCTATCTCCACTTCGCCGGCGAACAGAGGCATGGTAGACCGACAATTACAGCAACACCGACGGTCTGGGACAGCAAGGAGGGACGGCGGTCGAGCACGACTACCGGCCGGCGCCGCACCGCCGCCTAGGAAGGCTGCGCGAATCTGACGGGAGGAAAGTTAGGGTTTCGAAATTTGGGGGAAGACGTCGCAAGAGAGAGAATTTTGATTTAATTGATGTGATCAAGTTCAACCTACATGTAAATTAAGTCAATTTTGATTAAAAAAAAAAAAATCTTANTAGAAAAATAACAAAGCCAACCAACCGATTAAGATAAGTCCTCTTTCTAGCGCCAATTCATCTATATATAATTTCAGAATGTGTTGAGCATACGTGGCAAACTCTCATACTTCAGAATTTTATTTGACAAAAAATCATGTTTTTGAGTTATGCTTGGATATAAATTAGTACTTGTATTAATTGTATTTTAATATCATTTCCTATTATAACCATTGAATTGCAAATATATTTTAAAAGTTGATAACCTTTGTATTTCTTATCAGTTTATATATATAATATATCAAATTAATCATCTTTTGATGAGTTTCGATTTGACATCCATATTGTATATATAAAATAAATAAATTATACTTATCATTATAATAATAATAAAATTATTTATTAAAATTAATTAAAAAATAAAATTATTTATCAATTAATATATTCATGTTTAATGTAGCTGTATGTTATAAGGTAGAAAATTTATTATAATATAACACATATAAGTCGCACAAGTAACATGTGTCATGCTAAAATATATAATAATATATACTACCTCCTATTTTTTATTATTTGTCACTTTGACTTAATTGATCATTGATAAAATAAATGTCGTTTTAAATATTTTGTTTATATTTTTTCATTCTTAACCCTCCATCTAATACACACAGTGTCTCTTCATATCTCATCTCCATCGTATCTCATTACATCCATTAAATAGGGTTAATATTGTCAAGAAAAAAAAATCTTAATTAGTGTGTTGCATTTGAATTGATATTATGAAACTTGTTTATATTTTACTATATATATATATATATATAATAAAAAACAGTAATATATATCCTTATAAATAAAATTTAAATTTATTTATCAAACTAAATTAAATTATATCAAATAAAACTATAAATTATATTATAAAGTAATCGAAATTACTATGTATTCTTTTAAAAATGATATTTATTTCAAATCTAATTGGTATGTTGTCAATGTAATAAAAACAAATAATTATTTATATAAATTCTAAAAGTACATATAAAGTTAAAAAACTGTGAAGCACGACTCATACGACACTTGATGTATTAGGCATCTAATTAAGTAAAAAAATTAATCTATTTTGTTTAGTATGACATAAACATATCCTACAATTATGCATATACATATCATCATATTATTTCTATTCATTTAAGATATATGTTTTTGTACTTATGTAATAGTAAATAATATCGATTTTTTTTTTATATGATATAAGTAAAAAAATTCAACACGGGTTTACATACATTCCAAAATAAATAGGATTCTTATATATTTTTGTTTAATCTTGCTTAATCCGATCCCTTCCAACTCCAAAATAAATAGGATTCTTATATGTTTTTGCTTAATCTTTGCCGAAATCTGTGTGACCAAAACAAATCGAATTGCTTTCCCAATATTTTTGCTTAATTCGGTCCCCTCCAAAATTATAATACATTTTTGCAAATAAATAGGATTCTTATATGTTTTTGCTTAATCTTGCTTAACCCGATCCCCTTCAACTCCAATACGACACTTGATGTATTAGACATATAATTAAGTAAAAAAATTAATCTATTTTGCTTAATTATAAATAAACATATTCTACACTATGCATATATATATCACCATTATTTCTATTTATTTAAGATATATATTTTTGTACTTATGTAAAAATAATAATATCGATATTTTTATATGATATAAGTAAAAAAATTCAACACAGGTTGATATTTTCATTTAATGTACGGGTGTTTAATTATTATGATTAAAAAATATAATTTGACAATTTAATTAAAACTCAAAGTAATGTTTTATATAAAATTAAATTATTTTAATTTTTAAAAAAATAAAAAAATTAATATTTTTTACAAAAACTTTCTAATTTAACACCCGTGTAATACACAGGTATTGTACTAGTTTATTATTATTTATTATTATTGAGTAATAACGACTAAACAAAAAAAAATATGAAAAGACAAACTAGTACTAAGCTGGGTAAATTACTAGAGGATATTATTTTGTATTGATAATTAAGAAAAAGATTGTTTTTTCTCAATCCCTTTTACCCAAGAATACAAGCCCTATTAATAGAGGTTTTTTAGGGGGTTGTATTCAATTGAGATTTTTAAGAACTTTTTAAAACTTTTTAAATTTGGTGACTTTTGTGGACTTTGTAAAACTTTCATGACTTTGGTGGACTTGTTGAGACTTTCAAAGAATTCTCATTACTGACTTTTAAAACTTTCATAGTGGACTTTTTAAAACTTATTGAGACTTTTATATACTTGTAGTTATAATATTATGTTTGAATGAAACATTAATAAACGTAACATAATAACTAATATTAAGTTGAATAAATGAAAAAAAAAATATTTTATTTATAATCCTCTAAAAATTTATGAATCAACTCATTGTTATGCGAAATGCGTTATTCACTAACAAATTGTTTAGAATTTTAGATTTATTAAACGAGCAAATCAATCCGAGGTTCAACGAGTCGAACTATGGAAGATACAAACATTGTCCAAAAACAGTAATTGTATTTTAGAAAGTTATCAATAATATTCAAAATAATTCATTATCAACAAATAAACTATTAGAAAATAAAATAATTTTATTAATATTTAAAAATAAACATTGACAAATAAAAAGAGAGAACAAATAAATTATTTGCAAGTGCAAACTATGGAAGCATTTAACCTTTGAAAAATCAAATTCACAAGATAACAAAATGAAAGAATAAAGGTATATATACATAAAATAACCATAATAAAAAATATATAAAATAAAGATCACGTTAAATATGCGTAATGAAAATAAAAATTATACAAGGTTATCAAAATAAACGAGTAAAATAATAGAGCGTGAAAGTGATATGAGATACAACGTCGTGTTGGAAAAAAAAAATAAAGGACTTGAAGAGAGTCACATAAGTCCAACAAAATCTCACTAATATTGATGAGATTTCTGTTGGGACTTTCTCTTTGTAATTTTATTAGAAAAGTCTCTAAAAGTCTCACAATTTAAAAAGTCTACAAATATATTCGTATTTTGAATACAAGGTGACTTATAGAGACTCTTAGAAAGTTTTAATTGAATACCTTGAGACTTTTAAAGACTTTTGTCTTAAGAATACATGTAAACTTTTCACAAGTCTCTAAAAATTCTGATTGAATACACCAGAATTTTGAAAGTCTTAAAAAGTCTCTAAAAGTTAATTGAATACACCCCCCTTAATCTCGGTTCAAAGTTCAATACATGTTCGTTACCACAAGGGATGATGTAGAGCAATATCAACATTTGAAAACAAATAGTCTCTCTT